TGTAGTCAATCATCTATTACAAAATAAAATCAATTTCACTTGAATCTGTACTCCGATGTTATTTTCGGGTGCCAATGTTGTAAAATATTAGAAAGTAAAACTTAAGGTAAAAATTCTCCGTTTTCTGATCTTGTGTTATGCTTATATTCGGCTTTGTTCCTCCTTTTGTAATTTAAAGCTACATTTATTGTAATTAATACTGGATTTTTCATTTTAAAATTGCTTTCTATGATGCTGTATTTTAATAGTTTTTGTTTTGCCAGATATCAGACAAACAAGATAATTATATCATCTTTCACGTGAAATTGAACTAGAAAAAAATCCACGCTAGTGAAATACCTCTAAATCACACACAAAATTTCTGGTAATGCTGAATAAACTGATTAATTTGAATTACATGTGACTTTGATTAATAATGTTCTCAATTTACTCATTACATGCAGATACTATCTGTTAATCAGTGTGAACATTATTTCTGAAAAAAAGTATGACCAGATAATGTTGTTCAACCGTTTATATTAATCCAGTTTGCCAGAAACAGAACTTTATTTAGAAAATAGAAGCTGCTCAGAGTAACATAATTTCCTTAATTTTTCATCTATTAATCCTGAATCCTGAATGGGAGCAGAGGTAGTGTGGACACCATCTTTTTTATTCCTTAAGCTGAAAAGTGTGTCAAAATGGATATGAAGGGTTAAAATTCTCTTTTTACACCTAAAAACACAAAATGCTTTTATATATATCTTACACAAAAGTAGGTCTGATTTTAATATACTGCTTATATATATATATGTATAATCTTACAATTCACTTATATTAAATCTTCTGATCTTATTTACGATGATGGTTTGAAAGTTAAGCATTCACATTCTTTGCTATATTTTTTTATTTTATTCAGTTTAGTGAAAGACAACAGAAAAGGGAGATGGAAATGCAATATATATCTTCTGCGAGTTAGCAAGCTTATATAAGAAATAAAAGCTTCACAAAAATATTGTAATAATTTTCTAAAAGTGAGTTTCATGACTAACCCATTACATTCTAAATATCCTTTGTTTTATATTCTTTATTCACTTATTTACAAAATATTAACCAAAGAAGGGGGGGGGAAGAAGTGGAATTAAGAACAGCTGTGAAATGCAATGATCTATTACATAAAATAAACATGACTGTCCTCACAAAATGAAATTCAAGCTTGCAAAATTACCATGCTAAAAAAAGCATAGCAAAAACACGCAATATCCTCTCAGAATGGAAATCAAGTTACCCGACCATGCACGCACACACACGGGAAAAAAAAAAAAAAGGAAAAAAATAGTTAAATAAATGAAAGAACTTTCACATAACATGACATGATTTTATTCACCATTTCCTCCTCACCTCACAACAATAAATCACACAATTACTGACTTAACAAGCAGTAGTGATAACACACGATATGAAGAAACACTGGGAAGAAAAAAAAAAAATATATGGAATGACGCACCTTCCTTGGAGAAGGTTTTCCCATTCTCCTCGAAAGGCAGAAGAGAAAATCAAATAAAAATAAAATAAAATACAAACAAAGAACATGAACTTGTGAACTTTTTTGCTTGTTCATTCACACACACTTTTAGTCGTCCCATTCCTGGCAATCACTCGCCTGGAGAGGAAACAAGAGTCCAAGCGTATCCGGGAAAACACGCTTACATCTATTTGAAATATCATAGAAGAGGAGAGAGAAAGAAAGAATGAAAGAAAAAAGAAAAAAGAAAAAAGAAATAAGATACAAACACTTAAATCTTCTCTCTCTCTCTCCATCACAAAAAATAACAGTACTGGTACTTGATGATTTCCCTCATCAAAATAAACACTCGAGTCATTCCAATCAAAGTTTGTATAATTAACACTATCTTCCATCTCACTTTTTTTTTTCTTTCTTTCTTTCTTCTTTCATCCTCGCTCCCTGTCTTCACTTTCCTTTTTTTTCTTCTCCCATTTTCTTGCATCTTCTTGCTGCAGTCTTTTCTAAGAATAACTATCACTTTTGCACAGGAAAATGTCTGCACTGCCATAAATACAAAGCACGGCAAGGGAGACAGTCAACGTCATCAGCAAAGTTGGAATGGCGAGGAAACTTTATTATTGATGACAATAATAATAATAATAATAATTAATTAAAAAAAAAAATAATAATAATAATGTCACGCAGACTGTCACCTATTCACCATTACTGCTCCGGAAACTAGCTCAATCGGTCCTGCGAAATGGAGAGAAGAAAAGGGAGAATTACTTTTAATTTCGTAACAGTTGTTCGTATGGTTTGTTTTATTGTTATCAAAACTATTCACCTTTTGCTCCAGAAAATAAGTCATTCTTAATGATTAATAATTACTTTGTATCATTAATGACAAAAAAAAATAAATAAAAAATAAAATAATAATAATAATAATAATAAAATAAAATAAAATGAAAATAATAATAATAATAATAATAATGATTAATAATAATAATAATGATAATAATAAATAAAATTTAAATACATCTCATGCAAATTCTACATTAAATATTACAGTAACAAATGCATTCTTATGGGCTATCATGCAGTTTTTCATACCAATATACATAAAAAAAAAAAGGGGAATTAATCATATATACATATCCTCTAAAGGACGGAAAATAAAATTGGATAGAGGAGAAAGCATTTAGAAATATTAAACAACCAACTACCAAACAAGGTCTATATAAGCACGGTCTCTTCATTTTGGTGTGCAGAGGCCGGAGGTTCAAAATAAATCCGGTGGTCAGTCCGGCACTGGCCTCCTTCATGCCAGAACTAGGTCATGGTGGCAATAGCGCTTGCCTAATGAAATGATATCCTTTACGATGTTGATGTTTACTATGGCACATTTGCTTGACAAAAGATGAGCCCATTCAACACTAGTTATGTAGGGGAAAAAAAAAAAAAAAGATTGAGGATTGTGAAAACCCATATAAAATTGAAACCTAAACAAGGATATGCACTTCCCTTACTACAGAAATTTTCTGTTATTTCACAATTTATCCAACAAGTCATGCAAAGGAGACTGATTTCATCCTGTCTTCATCTATCAGCACATATATCTCAGGCTAGATGACTGCACTTGGTTTGGTATCGAGCTGCTAATCATCTTATTTGTGAAATAATAACGATAATGGCAAAGATAATGATAAGAAATGATGATTTAAAATGCATAGTTATAAGGAGACTTATTATTTACTATCAAGGTGTTTGCTGAGAAAAATCCAATCAAATTATTTACCAAAGCTGTGCAGAACTGCAAAGTGATGAGACCTTACTTGTATAAGACCTTCCATTCATCCTTTGAAACACTCCCTCCGAACAAACATGAACACGGATGCGCACACACACAAAAAGGACACCTACAAATGAGTGCACACACACACACACACACGCGCGCGCGCGCACACACACACACACACACACACACGCACACACACACACGCACACACATGCACACACACACGCACGCACATGCACACACACACGCACGCACATGCACACACACACGCACGCACATGCACACACACACGCACGCACATGCACACACACACGCACGCACATGCACACACACACGCACGCACATGCACACACACACGCACGCACATGCACACACACACGCACGCACATGCACACACACACGCACGCACATGCACACACACACGCACATACACGCACGCACATGCACATGCACACACACACGCACACAGACACACACACACGCACACAGACACACACACACAGACACACACACACGCACACAGACACACACACACAGACACACACACACAGACACACAGACACACACGCACACAGACACACACGCACACAGACACACACGCACACTGAAAAGATGGTAAAATAGGAATTGCAAGCAAAGAAATAAGACTTAGAGAACGAAGACCAAAGAAATCCTAGTGGGGAAGGAGTAATAATAAATAAATAAATAAATAAAGGTGAAATAATAATGATAAAGAAAAAAAAAAGACAAAAACTAAACACTGCTTTTTTTAAAATTTACTAACTACAAGTATATTCTGTAAGGGAGACAATCCTAAAAAGTTTTTCTACTTTGCCGAAAATGCCTGCCCATTTCAACATACCTTGCACTTTTTCATAGCTTTTCTGGTAAACGCAAGCATGCAGTGAAAGAGAATATAAAAATGTAAACAAACTGGCACATACCAAGGGAAATAATTGTCTTTCTCTGATTTATAAAAATATTAAAAACTCAAGGTCATAATTATCCCAATTAGTAAACTACAGAAAAGGTTACTGTCAAATCACATACTTTATTTACATTTTATATTATATATATATATACACATATATATATATATACACATATATATATATACACACATATATATATATACACATATATATATACACATATATATACATATATATATAAATTTTAATATATATATATAAATTTATATATAAATTTCAATATATATATATATATAAATATATATATATATATATATAAATATATATATATACATATATATAAATATATATATATATATATATATATATATATATATAAATATATATATATATAAATTTTAATATATATATTATATATATATATATATATATATATATATATATATATATATATAAATTTTCATATATATATAAATTTTCATATATATATAAATTTTCATATATATATAAATTTTCATATATATATAAATTTTCATATATATATAAATTTTAATATATATATATTTTAATATATATATATATTTTAACCCATTCGCGCCGGGTAAAAATGAACAAAAAATGGGGGAAATGCTGTGCTCAATTTTTATAGTTTTTAATGAAATTTCTCTACACTAGATGGCTCTGCTTTACCTGATTTCATTTGGCGGGAAAATGTATTTTTACTAGTGCTATGAATATCGATGGTTATTTTTATTATAAACATTATAATTACTATAACGTTATAAACATTAGTAACAACAAAATAAGATAACGCAAAATGATTTCGTAAATTAAAGAAAAGGGTAAACAGACGAGACAGGCAGTACAAGTGCAAGTGGAGCCATCTGTGTTTGTAAACAATCAAACAAGTAAACTCACAGTGGGCCCGTCATGTATACGTGACGCCCGGCGCGAATGGGTTAATATATACATAAATTTTATATATATAAAATTTTATATATATATATATAATTTAATATATGTATATATATATATAATTTAATATATGTATATATATAAATATATATAATGGTGTTAAAGACTATTTAGTAGCCTTACTTTTAAATTATGCAAGTCATCAAACCTTGTGGAATTACAACATACTGTTATTTCTTTCAACCTTACAAGAAAACATGCACATGAAAAAAATAATCAATAGTCAAAAGAGGGATGTACATTTCCCTATACTAAATATCCTAAGCTGTTGTGTGATGCCTGGCAATTCACAGGCAAGGATACTGCACTTCATGGTTAATACAAAGAACGAGAGAATGTTAAACGATTAAAGTGTGGGGAAAACAAGAGTAAATAACAGCAACCAAGTTCTTTTTGGGAGGGCTATTATCAAATAATTACACAGTAAATAATAATGATCTTTTAGTTAAGCATTGTCAGATAAGCAAGACTACCAGAGTTTCTAAGTCAATGGTATAAGAAGCATTCCAGTTGGAGAAACTAAATGCTAAGAGTGCCTTGTGCGTTCCAGGTTTGTAGGTACCTTCACCGAAACCCTAAAGCCGAGAGTTAGTTCTGCTGGTTCTGCGAAAACCTGTAAGATTTATTGTAGTACGGCCCATACACCATCTTCACCTCCTGCCTGTAACCCCCAATGAGAGATTTTTGTCATTATTCTTGGGTCATTACTACCCCACCCAAGGGACTTGATGTTAATTTACTCTTTCAAAAAAAATATGAATTACTGTATTTTTTCGGCCAAGAAATAAAAGGAGCTGATTTCATTATCTATCATCTTGTGTTCTACATTGTTAATAATATTATAATCAATACTATTTCACTGTAGTCGTCTTAGGTTAAATATGCCTAACCATTTATTTCATGCTTTTCTAAATGAGCTTTAATATAAAGTTCACTTCTATTTTCTCGTATGAGATAAACTGCCATCTCTATTATCCTATAAGGTTACTCTACAATGACAGTTTTCATATCATCTTTCTCTTTGTTGAAAGGCAGTTGATTGTATTATTGTTAAGACAAAATATCAAAGGTTAAGAACTGAAGAGAATCAAAATCCAAATCTAAAATAAATATTCAAGAAAAAATATTGGAAATTCTTCCTGGCATAAACAGTACGGTAAACACGACCCCACATATTCCTTCAAGAGACACTCAAGACTAAAGGTTCCTGGTTTTTCCCAATTGATTAAAATGCTTTTACACTTTCAAGAATAT